AACATTATCTCAGGGGAGGTGGGCACATCCCATCAAAATTCGGCCATATCTGTTAGAGTTGTTTTGTATATTTTGTTTATGTGACTAGCCTGTGTGTATACAGTATTACTGATCTGATAGCCGAAAGTTCGTGAATAAAAATATCTAGGCAGCAAGAGTGGGTAGTAGCGAAACTACAATTTTCAAGTAGCTAGTAGTTTTTGACTACATTTTTAAAACAGTAGCTGTAGTTATAGCGAACTACATTTTGCCTAAAAGTAGCCAAGTAGTTGACTACTTTTCAAACAGCAAATCGCTATTCGCTACTTTTAAAAATTGTTAACAACTTGATAGAATAGCATGATATTGAGACACGGTTTGCTTAAAATCGATACTCAATAGTCAATTTGCACTCCTGAACACTGTAGTGATTACAAAAATTATTATGTTGCTTTGTGTTTACTGTTGCTACTCGTAAGTCGATTTGTTATAGGTTACATTACAGTCTGAGTTAGTATAGATGCTCCAAATACAGTAAAACTAAAAAATATAGCGTAGCGAAATAGCGAAATAGTTCGCTACATTTTTTAAGCAGTAGCTGTAGTCAGTAGCGAACTACCTTTGTTCAAAAGTAGCAGTAGTTGTAGCTGACTACATATTTTTGAAGTAGCTGTAGTTATAGCGAACTACAAAAATTTTGTAGTCAACCCACCCTTGCTAGGCAGAGAACGTTGTGATTCATTATGTACAATGAATCCTGGCCGCGCATCTTCCATATGTGGTGTTCAATGTTCAAAAAGGGCCAACAGTGATGTTGCATCCCACAATGCCGCAGGATGATGTTAGATCAACATGTTGAAGAATTATCATGTGACCCTCCCTCTTTAGTGATTACTGAGTAAATATAATAAAAAGCTATAATTAGGATGCAAGGAAAGATCATTAATTTATCTTTTTATAGGTTTACGGGAAGAAGCTGATGCTTTCTTTGTCTGCATTGGACTTGGTATTTTAATTGTAAATACAGCTGCTTCTTACGGTTAGTAAAAATGCTTATTGCCTTTATTATATTCATTCGACATTTAGTTCCATGGTGAATGTAAAACCTAAAATTGTAGTTTTGTTGAAATTGAAGTCAACGTCAGTACAGTATTTGATTATTTTCTAAAATCTATTTGATTGTTTTCCAAAGATTCGTATTGTGGTAATTGTCATTCTTTTGTTTCTCAGGTTATGCTATTTCTACGATGACGTCATCAGTTGAAACAGCTACAGCTCTTGGGCCAATTGTGATGTTGCCTCTACTTCTGTTTGGCGGATTCTTTGTAAACAATGAGTAAGACACATTATTTACCGTATTTTCCCCAAATTGGGTTTCAACAATCGATGTATTTTGAAGTGGGCTTTGGAGCCCTGGCGCCAAGAAAGCATCTCGATGTATCGAGTAGCCAAAGTGGTGTGGTTAAAACCAACAATTTGCGTCTAGTTAATACAAACAATTCCTGTAAGGTGTTATTATAATAGAATTATAATTATTTCAATATATTGGCTTGCGGTATAGGTCTTCTCATTTTTTTCTTCCTTTTTCGAAAAGAAAATCCGTTTAATTTTTTATTAACAGGAGGGAGGATTAGAATTTGACTGTTCTTTTGTTCAGCTTTTACAAGCTTTGGCCACAGGCGCTGCCGTGCTGCCCGACAGAGGGATTACCATACTTTCCGGCCATCAGAGTTGAAGAAAGTAGCCGTATGCTTACGTTTTAAATATCAATTGTTTGCAATGAAAACCCTTCGTTTTTTAGCACTGTTCCAGACTATTTCATTTGGTTGAGATATCTATCTTGGTTTAATTACGGCTTTGAAGATCTGATGATCAATCAATGGAAGGATTATCCTGGCACGATTTGTAAGTTAGAGGAACTATTATCGTTTGATTATTATAGTTACGACGATTTAATTACTGTGAGAGTAGATGAGTACTTGTCGGTTTAATGATATCGTTTTCATTGCAGCTTGTGATGTTAAGAACAATACACGAACACCGTGTTTGAGTACTGGTGAAATGATTCTTGAGCGTTATCAGTTGCACGAGGTAGATATCGAGTTTTTGGCGGTTCTCGTCATTGGTGTCAATTTGTGCATAAGCTCGCCCCATTCCTCCGACATTTGTTGCGCGCCGCAAGCAATTTGTGAAAAGCATTATATATACAGTATTCTTAGCCTCCTCCGCAGGCATCTCTTGATCGTCGAGAACTTATATAATTTTATAGTTATTCAAATAACTGATTCAATAACTATATAATTTTTAAGTTCTCGACGATTAAGAGATGCCTGCAGAGGAGGCTACAGTATTCTAAATACCGAGCAGGTATTTTGGGGGTCCACCCTACTTTATTATTTGACTTTGTCTAATTTAGCATCAGACGACAGGGATGCCGGAAGTTGCTGAGGGCAAGGGGTGCAATTGGTTAACAAGAGGGCATAGTGCTTAACAAAAGGGCACTAATGAAAATGAAAGGGCATCTAAAAATTATTTTTGGCGACCCCCCCCCCGTCGCCAAAAAATTTTCGGTCAGTGTACCATTTTAGGGGGGGGGGGGGTAAAAAAATTTTTCCGGACATACCACAATTTTTCCTAAATACGAAAAAATTTTCCGGATATATGTTATTTTTTCCGGAAATAACATAGATTGAATTTTTCAAAAATGCCCTTAGCGCAAAAAATGCAATTTTAATGAAAATTTTTCACGCAAAAAATGGGCACTTTGTGCACCCGTTGCGCCCGTATTTGCACCCACAAAGTTGAAAATGCAAAAGGCAAGGGGTGCACTTGCACCCGTGGTTCCGGCATCCCTGTCAGACGATTTTTCTCGTCAAAGGGAGAGTGCGGCCAGTCGGTAAATTTATACTTTACCCTATACCAAGACTACCATTCCGTTCTTAAAAATAATTATTATGTTATTTAAAGTCTTCAAACTTTAAATATATTATGACTAAGCTCGTTCCATGACCAAATGTCCATTTTCATTTTGAGATCACAGTAATTGCCCAAAAGCTGTTGCAAGTTATGATCCGGTCACAATTTTGTAAATTTTATTATAAAAAATTAAAAATGAGAATTAAAATGTAATACTTTAATCTATTATTTCAATTTAATGTCTGATTGTTTTTTCATTTTTATAGGACAATTTCTACCCAAACATCTACTATACTGCTACTTTACTCGTTGGCTTCAGAATAATCTCATTTACAATGCTGTATATTCGAGCAAGGAAAAAAGATTGAATGAATGTGAATTTCGAGATTTGGGGCATCTCGCTCGATAGGAGTAACAGTTTAAGGGTTTTTGTAGATGCATGGAAATTTCGAGCGGAAGGTTATAAACAATTTTTAGACCTAACCAGGACCAACTGCGAAAAATGCACCGGAATCGCAGGATCGATTCCTGCCAGTGGGCCTATATAGTTTACTCTCATTTTTCACAGCCACTCCGCTTCTGGTTGGGTCTGAAAATTACATGTACAATATAATCGTATATAACCTATATTGTCTTTTCCTTTTGTAAATTTATCTGTCGTACGTGATTTAAAAATATATACGTAGTTAAACTGAACTATGTATATGTGTAGTTAATTGTTTAGGTAATCACAGTTGTTTTGTATTTTTAGACATGAGCACATAGTCATTGTTCATATTCGCTCGACCAAAAACAACAAAACGGCGCCCAAATTTGAGAAATTCTTGAACTTTGCAAGCAATTTCTCCTTACCTTTAATATTTGGGTCGAAATGATTTGGGAACAGTCTAATAAACATAGGATCTTCTATTTATGCTACAGTAACTTGTTTTGGGACTGGAGTTCCCCTTTAATTTTTAATATACGCTTCAGTTCACCATTGTTAGAAAGAAGCAACGGGACGATTCGTATGAAGTTTTGCAATATATATTGTCTTGAATGTGAAATTATAACTATATAAGTAAATTATTTTGTAAGTTAGCTAAGTAGTATATCCAGGACTACTATTGATATTAAATAATGTCTATCTATCTTGTGTCATGATCAGTCACTAAAAATATTACCAGACCGCATCCCTCTCATCAACTCCAAATCATTTTGCTGTCCCCTACTTAATACCACCGATTTCATCGAAAAAATATGATAATAAGTAATGAATATTGCGTTATTCCGCCTTTAACAAATTTCGCCGGTTGGGAACCCACAGAGTTGCGGAGGCTATGTGAAGCCAGCATGGCGGACAAAGAGTGATCTCTTGTAGGTAACATCTATATCGGAAAATCGTACTCATTTTTCAGCTCCCGCGAAGCCCACCTCGTCTATTTCGCAGGAGCTAAAAAGTGCATAACTAAGATTTTCCGATCGATGTTCATTTTTAGTCGTAAATATACCCCCTACTTAAAACCTAAGAACTAAATGAAAAGGAAAGATTAATGCAACTGCAGTCCATATTATTTTGTGTTCAATTCAAATTCCTCAAAACAAAATTTTGCTGATGTTTCTCCCCAGGGGTTTTTCTGAACTTGTTTTCACTCTTCAGGTAACTTTGCTTTTTATTGAATATTGATAAAGTGTTCCTAAAATTACTCTGAAAGAGCACCTGCTCTAGTTCTTAGAGTGTTGAACACATTCAATACATAACCATCCAAGTTGAGTGTTTATGCCGAAGACAGTCAAATGTTTATGCCGAAGACATTCAACGGCATAAACATCCAAGTTGAATGGTTATGCCGAAGACATTCAACGGCGTAACTATCCAAGTTGAAGACATTCAACGGCATAACCATCCAAGAATAATAATGGAAACTTTTTATTAGATATTTACGATATACTATATATACATTGATAAACCTCACTTAATAAAAGGTAGCTTATCGATGTCCACTTGAATTGAATTATTGAATTATTTATAATAATAATAATAATAATAATAATAATGGTTTATTACAGCTTTTCCACAGCGTGGTTCTACATCTGCAGAAGGTGAATGTTTGTGACAAATGCTTATGCCGAAGACATTCAACAACATAACCATCCAAGTTGAATGGTTATGCCGAAGACAGTCAACTGTCTTCCAAGTTGAATGGTTATGCCGAAGACGTCAACTGTCTTCCAAGTTGAATGGTTATGCCGAAGACAGTCAACTGTCTTCCAAGTTGAATGGTTATGCCGAAGACAGTCAACTGTCTTCCAAGTTGAATGGTTATGCCGAAGACGTTCAACGGCATAAACATCCAAGTTGAATGGTTACGCTGAAGACATTCAACGGCATAACCATCCAAGTTGAATCGTTATGCCGAAGACAGTCAACTGTCTTCCAAGTTGATGATTATGCCCAAGACATACCACGGCACAACTATCCAAGTTGAAGATATTCAACGGCATAACCATCCAAGTTGAATGTTTATGCCGAAGACAGTCAAATGTTTATGCCGAAGACATTCAACGGCATAAACATCGAAGTTGAATGGTTATGCCGAAGACATTCAACGGCATAACCATCCAAGTTGAATGTTTATGTCCGAAGACAATAGAATGTTTATGCCGAAGACATTCAAGGGCATAACCATCCAAGTTGACTCGTTATGCCGAAGACAGTCAACTGTCTTCCAAGTTGAATGATTATGCCGAAGACATTCCATGGCATAACTATCCAGGTTGAAGACAGTCAACGACATAACCATCCAAGTTGAATGTTTATGTCCGAAGACAATCGAATCTTTATGCCGAAAACATTCAACGGCATAAACATCAAAGTTGAATGGTTATACCGAAGACATTCAAGGGCATAACCATCCAAGTTGAATCGTTATGACGAAGACAGTCAACTGTCTTCCAAGTTGTATGATTATGCCGAAGACATTCCACGGCATAACTATCCAAGTTGAAGACATTCAACGGCATAACCATCCAAGTTGAATGCTTATGCCGAAGACAGTCAAATGTTTATGCCGAAGACATTCAACAGCATAAACATCCAAGTTGAATGGTTATGCCGAAGACATTCAACGGCATAACTATCCAAGTTGAAGATATTCAACGGCATAACCATCCAAGTTGAATGTTTATGTCCGAAGACAATCGAATGTTTATGCCAAAGACATTCAACGGCATAAACATCAAAGTTGAATGGTTATGCCGAAGACATTCAAGGGCATAACCATCCAAGTTGAATCGTTATGCCGCGAAGACAGTCAATTAACTGTCTTCCAAGTTGAATGGTTATGCCGAAGACATTCAACGGCATAACTATCCAAGTTGAAGACATTCAACGGCATAACCATCCAAGTTGAATGTTTATGTCCGAGGACAATCGAATGTTTATGCCGAAGACAGTCAACTGTCTTCCAAGTTGAATGATTATGCCGAAGACATTCCAAGGCATAACTATCCAAGTTGAAGACATTCAACGGCATAACCATCCAAGTTGAATGCTTATGCCAAAGACAGTAAAATGTTTATGCCGAAGACATTCAACAGCATAAACATCCAAGTTGAATGGTTATGCCGAAGACATTCAACGGCATAAACATCCAAGTTGAATGGTTATGCCGAAGACATTCAACGGCGTAACTATTGAAGTTGAAGACATTCCACGGCATAACCATGCAAGTTGAATGGTTATGATGCCGAAGACAGTTGACTGTCTTCGGCATAACCATCCAAGTTGAATTGTTATGCCGATGACATATGGCTATACCGGTAATATTAAAATGGCAATACCGTTAATATTAAAAGTATTTCCGGGCAACTTCGCAGTTCTCAATTCACGAAATACAAAAGGATTTTTGAATCTTTCTGAGTTCAGTGTTTAAAATGTCGTTGGGAAGGCGGGGGGTCAAGGGCTCCCGAGCTGATAATATGCTATAGGTCCCGCAAAACGTTAATCCAGCTCTGAAAGCCGGACGTAAAAAATAGTCGGTTAAAAGATTGTGAAATTTCTATATCAAACGATGCTGATTTTTTGTACCGATTTAGTGAATTTCTGCACTACAAATTTCGCCAGTAAATTTGTATACATGTAGCTGTCTATTACAACAATTATTAGGCTATTAAAATAAGCATTGTGACAAAATTAGTATGTGCATGGTGTTACTTTAACATTCCACGAAACATCTTGCCAAGTTTCTTGCCGGAATATACAATAGATTTGAACATTCCTGCAGTAATAATTCCTTTCAAACTTTGGGATATACTTGTGTATCTTACAATTGACCTTGCTCCTTTTAGCGCTAATTCTGATGTCTTTTCCCGATCATGAGCTAGGCCATACAAAATTGCATCTTGCATTTCATTGGATGGATTATTGAATGGTTGAAACCGTAGTCCTGACATCCGCCAATTAACGATTCGTGACTTCAGGTTCTGAGGAAGAGATGTTAGACGTTCATAACGAGTTTCAACATCACACTTCTGATGTATGATGTTTTTATCAATATCAATTGATTCATCATTATGTAGAAGCGGATAATATAGTTTCCTGAAATGTTCCATGTTAGGTATTAC